CTGTGGTTTTTAGTCTCAGACCCCATGCTGCTCCTGAGGTGGCAAATGTCCTCSGGAGGGGAAGGATTGCAGGCTTGAAGCCTCACCCCGAGTTCTTGCCATTCTGCCAAATGCTTCCCAGCCACCTGCAAACACAAGTTCATGACTGCATAATTCTAGTTGTTTGGTACAACATTTAAGCAAACATCTATTTGGAAACTTTATTTACAAAACAGATACACAACATTGCAATTTCCCATTTCACACAGAATTCTTTACARTGGAACTCATTTAAATGTAAGATCACCTCTAGGGTAATTAATTATCACTTAGTTTACAGAATTTTCCATTGTACACAAGTTTTCAGGTAGAGTATACTTTTAATTAGGCAGAAAACTAGTCTGTATTAATAAAACATCAGAGTTGCAACATTTTAAAATGCTAATGCATTGCTTTTTAGTAACATAGCAACTCTGAGTAACTTCTAATAAATAATTTATAGACAAAGCTTATTCACAATTAGCAACATATATCAGCATCCGCGTTACCAGGGTAYAACTTCGTTATCAATTTATTGAATATGCTGCAGCTCTTGAAAATTTTCCAGTAAACATTGATTCTTAAGATGAATGAAGTAATCTTGAATGAATTGTTGTGTCATTTCCAAATGGTCATGAGATCATGTTAGATTTAGCCTATTAAGTGTCTCATGATTGTGAATTTTATAGCGTTTGGGTTTAAAGGTAACCAGCAGAACACCCCACATTCCTAGGGCAGTCCCTGGGGTGGGAGTAAAGCTGATCCCCATGACCCTTCCCTCCTCCTGTCCACCTTCTGCCCCTCCTCCTTCCGTCCCTCCCTTCCTGTGTTGGTGGGTTTGGGGGTTTGTCAAAGGTTCCACACGAGATGGAGACAGCAGCAGGTGGTGTCCCTAAGAGCCAGCCCCTGCACATGGAGTCCGGCCTGCACAGATTCCTGACCTGACCCACCTGGTTGCCTGACCAACCTGACTCCCGGCCCTGGCCGCCTCCGCCCCGGGCAGGCTCCGTGGCCGTGGCGGTCCATCCAGGTGGCCTTCCCGCAGGCCCCGCAGTGTCCTCTGCTTCCTTTTGCAGACTCTATGAAGACAAGGGCGAGGCCGACTTCGTGGAGTCCCTGCTGCAGCTCTTCCGCTCCATCAACGACATGATGAGCAGCACGGCCGACCAGACGGTCAGGGTGAAGGTAGGCACCACACCCGGGGGACGAGGAGGAAGGGGTCCCGCGTGGGCTGAGAGGGGCGGTGCACCCTGCGACCCCGCACTTGAGCGGACCGGGGCATCTCCTGGGTGGGAGCATGATCCTCCTCGCCTGCCGCGGCTGTTCCCCTTGGCCCTGGAGTGCTTCACTCTTTCCTTTGGCCARGCTTCTTGCTCCTGGGCAGGAGGAGCTTCTGAATGCACTTCTGAATGAAGTGGGGCGTTGATGAGGACGGCTGGACTGCTCAGTGGTCAGGGCGGCTGGGTCTCAGGGAGCCTGGGAGGCGGGCAGATGTGCGTGACATTATTCATTATTGTCATGTTCTTTTAACGTATGATTTCAGAAACGTTCCCAGGCCTGTTCTTTTAAAAATACTTTGGGCAAATCCTTTTCCAGCTCTCAGGTTTTGCCATGCTCTCCGGAACAAGCCCCGTGTGTTCAGTCGTCTCCTGGCTGCTGCCACCAGGAGACACCGCTGGGCCAAACAGGAACACAGTGGAGCTTCCCTCTTCCTCCCAGGGGTGCCGCGGCCGGGGAGGGCCACCGAGGTGTTCTGCGTTAGTCATTCACCATTACAAGAGTCAGTTCTAAAAATTGGTGACCTAGGGAAAAGCCACATGGTGTGCATCTTAAAGTTATAGGTTGATAATTTTGGTAACTCAGTATTGTTTAGAGCTTCCTTATTGTTCCAGGGTTAAAATTAGCAATGTGCTCRGTACATTTACTACCGCATTTGTGCCATTTTAGAAAAACAGACGCATACCAGGTAAGAATAGATAAAAATTACAGGAAGTTTYGTGCCCAGAAGTAATTTTAGATTGCTAAATATATTTTTACATTATTAAATTTGATTGGGCTTGACTTGTGTCTTCCTGCCTCCCTTGAAGTCACATCATTTAGTGAGTGGAAACCAGGAAGAATTTCCTTCGCGGGGTGTTTCTTTGTAAGATGCGAGCGGATCTGGTGACGTTTGTGCGTTGGTGCTGATTCCCCGTGTGCAAGCCAGATGCACGGGTTTTGTTTGGCAGGCCGCCCCCACCCTGCCACCTTGCTGCTAATTTGTTATTCTATTATTTTACTATAGTTGTTCTGTCACCGTTGGAGATTTAAGGGCTCCTGCTGTGGAACTCTGGTTTTTGTGGCATTTTGACTTTTGRTTTTGCCGTGTTGACGTGTGAATACTGCTGTGAATTGCTTTGCCTACGGAAGGCATTCTCCAGACTGTGCCGTTTCCTGGGTTTAAAGGTTGTTTCCCAAAGGGTGGCCCTTGTTGGCTGCTTTGAATTGGGGGATCTGCTGCATCCTTTGTCTGTGACCTCGAGGTCAGCATGCCTCTTGTCTTCATGGCCTGGTCTGGGTGACCCGACTGGGGTTTCTCACTGTCAGCATCCTGGAGTCACCTTCGTGAAACAGAACCCACTACTCACAGCCCAGGCATGGGTGAGGGGCAGCTCCAGGGCTCAGGCCTCAGGATGACAGGGCAGAGGAGTTTCCACGCTCACTTGCCGTGGGACAAACTTGGCCTCCAGCGTGAGTTTGCAACACGGCCATTTCCTTTTGACTTAGTGAAAGTCTTTACTAGAATGGCTGATGGAGGGGGCTCACCTCCATCTTCCAGCTCACCTCCGCTTCCCAGGTTCTGGGGTATCCGGTGTTTCTGGAGACAGGGTCAGCCAAGTGCCCCTTCACTGCCCCTCATTTAAAGCCCCCAACCTCAGGGCTACAGCCAGACCCTTTGGGAGACACATGTTTTTGTTGTGATACAATGATGTGAATTTCCCATTCTAAGGGCACACGTCAGTGATGTTGGTGTGTCCACTGTTTTGTGACCACTGCCCTCTGCTTCAGAGCAGTTTCTTTTTTCTTCTGAAYATTTATTTTTTAGTTGTAGTTGGACACAATACCTTTTTTTATTTACTTATTTTTATGTGGTGCTGAGGGTGGAACCAGGGCCTTGCACGTGCTAGGTGAGYGCTCTACTGCTGAGCCACAACAGAGCGGTTCCATCTCCCTCTTGAAACCCCACACCCATCAAGGATCAAAGCCCATCACTCCTCCTACACCCCTGGAAGGTGCCCTCCTGTCTCCATCTCTGCACCTGACTGCCCTTGCAAGCCCGTGGAGGTGGAGTTGGGGGTGTTTGCCCCACRACCAGCACAAGGCCTTCAGCGTCCCTCCCTGTTGAAGCTTGTGCCACTCTCCTGCTTTTTGAAGGCCRGATGGTGTTTATTTTTGTGGATTGGCCGTATTTTGCTCAGACCTTGACCATTGCTAGTGAAGCTGCTGTAATGTGGGTGTGCAAACCCCTCGCACCCCTGGCCTCCATTCTCTTGAACACATACCCAGCAGGAGAAGGGCTAGGTCMTATGGTGGTCTTGAGTTTGGGTTTTGGAAGAGTCACCACCGTGTTTTCCAGTGCACGACACTCGTAGCCCACTCCTTCTCTGAGGTCCTTATTGCATTTGCTTCAGCAGTGGTTTTCACAAGCCCCTCAGGCAGGGTCACCTCGGCTCTCACCAGTGCCACCTGGCCTTCTCACTTCTCTCTACCCAGAGCCACCCCGCCTGTGCTGAGGGCTTCCCGGGATGCTCCTGGGGGACAGTGAAGCTCTGCCCCAGCTCCTCCCTCACATGGGGAACCAGGCGGTTCCTTTTGTCCACCTTCATGGACTAGGGCTGCAGAGTCCATGTCCCGGCTGGAAGGGCATAGGGCCTGCCTATTCCCAGCAGAGCTTCCTACCGACACGCACTCTGTGTGTGCATAAAGCCGTGAAGAAACTCTGATGACATGTCACGAAGGTCATGTGCGTCTGAAGGGGAGGGAGGAAGCTGATGGCCTGGGCTTGGAGGCCTCTTGGAGGAGGAGACACGGGTCGTGGCCCTGCTGTGTGACAACAGTGGATTGCAATGTCAGATCAAGGTGTTTGGAGCATTGCAGTCAGGGTGACTCAGTTCCTCAAGTATTTCCACCTTCTTTCTGGGATGATTCTGGAGACACTTCACACACCACACCCAACCATTCCTGTTCCTGTGTCTGGGGCCAAGAATTTCAGGATCTTTTGTAAAAGGAAAGTTTGAACATGAGCCATGACAAGAGATGGATTCTTCTTGCATGTGTGTGTGTGATATATGTGTGTGCATGTGTATGTGCCACAGGCATACATGTAGCATGTTAGTGTGAGAATGTTGTGTCTATGTGTGTAGATGTATGAGCGCATGTGTGGCTATGTTCTTTGTGCACAGATGTGTGTGACGTGTGGGTGCACGGGCATGTTATGTGTGCACATGTTTGTGTGTGTGTGCTCATGCCTATGTGATGTGAGCGTGAGTGCTGGATATGTGCCTGTGGAGCATGTGCATGCATGTGGGTGTGCTGTAGTGTTGCTGAAAACTGTTCCTGAGAAGTGCCTGCCCTCCCACATTCTGGCCTTTTCTATTGTCGTCTCCTTTAGTCTGTGCTACACTAATGGTTTGCACGAAGAATATTGCTGGTTAACAGCGTATTTTATGAACAGCTTAATGGATTTCAGCCCACATTTGAGAACCGATGCCTGTTACTATTCTTTAGGGCTCTTCTCCTGCCTCTCCTGTGTAGTTTATTATGAAAATATTCTCATTAGTTTTCTGACTTCTTCCATTGTCTTGTAGAGCCCCAGGCCCCTGGCGCCCAGGCATGTGGATTGGACTGGGGTGAAGATTAATTGAATTCGGGGCCCCCCAAGCTGAGGTTGGCATGCAGCAGGCGAGGGCAACTGGCCCCGGGGAGCAGCCCTCCCTGTCTCTTCCCTTCTAAGCACCTCATGGTGCTGTTTCCATCTGGCCTTCTAGGAAGGAGCTGTGTTGGAAATCAGCTATTTTGTAATCTCAGTAAACGCAGTGGATGGGTGAGTTTGGCCCTCCAAGAGGTACAGTTTTAATTTCCTGTGACTTGAATGAGCGGTACTTGCTGGCCTTACGTGTTACCCCAAATTCTTCATGAGGTGAAGTTTTTGCTGCTTTTTGCCTATTTCTAAACTAGCCTTTGGGTTCATGTTGCTTCTCACACATTTGCAAGTTTGGAATTTTATTGTCTTCAGGAAAAATAGTCAGAAGGTACCAGGGTCAATGACAAATAAGGTGGAGATACAGCAGGATTTCCTTGTGGAGGAGATGAGGCTTCTGTCCGTGGCTTTGAGCGGCTGCAGGAGCAGCTCCCTCAGCCCCTCCTCCAAGGCCCACAGGTTCCCTCCTCACATGCAAGTGGATTCAGATGAGGAGAATCATGCAGCCCCTCACCTCTGGGAGGTTCCACTCCAGTGTCTCACCCTGACAATTGCCTGCTGGTCTGCTCACTTGGATGTCTTCCCACATATGTCCACATCTATGTGGACTGTAGATTCACATGTATGTCTACAGAATGCCCCTCGGCATCTGCGGGGGTTGGTTCCAAGACCCTGCACCCAAACTTGAAGATGCTCCTGTCCCTCATAGAAAATGGCACAGTGGGGCTGGGATGTAGTTCAGTGAGAAAGYACTTGCCTGGCCTGTGGGAGGCCCTGCCTTTGATTCCCAGCACTGCAAAATCAATAAGTAAATCAATAAATAAGAGGGGGAATGACATAGTATTCACACGTGACACACGTCCTCCCACATCATACTTTAGTCTCTGGGTTACTTATAAAGTTTCAGACAATCTGAATGCTGTGTAAATAGTTGTTATATTTATTTTTTTAGGAAGTGATGAGCAAARATTGTGTATGTTTAAYGTAAACATATTTAAAAATATTTTTTTTGATCGCAGTTGGTTATGTCTGCAGACCTAGGGCCCAAGGATTCGGGGCATGTCTTTCTGTAAAATATGAATACACCACACACTTTTAGACATCATTYTTTTCTAGATATATTTTCCCTTTGCTTGTCTTTTTAAGGTCGCCTTGTGGCGGAGTCCTGAGTTACTCGGAGCTCTCGGATGGTTTCTCCTTCCCATTTCTGTGGGTGCTTGTGACCCTCCTTGTCTGACCCCTCTGTGTGTGGCAAAGGCGTGTCCCGCTGGTTTGCTGGGAGGCATCTCCATGTGCTCCTGGGTCCTGTGAAGGTCACACCTAGGCTCTGGGACCCTGGCCGAGGTGGGGACTCTGTGTCTTTCTCAGGCTGGTGTTGAATGTGGGTCTGGGCCCTGCTTTTCGATGGCCCTCCCGTCTGCGCTGCTGTCCTTGGCTCTGCGCTTCCTGGGACTGAGCTGCCCTCTGCGTGTTGCGTGACAAGGCCCGTGTCATCGCTAAACACCGGCTTTTGTGACCTTCATTTCTGTTGGCACAGGGTTGCTGGCCATGCCAGGGACGCTCTGGTGACCCACTGCCGCAGCCCAGCTGATTCTGGGTGTGGCGGGAACTAGCCCGTGAGCTGGTGTCCCACTGCAGACCAGCGAGCAGCTGGAGGTGTCAGGGGGTCCTTGGTCCTGGAGGGCTTCCTGGGTGCAGGCAGCCCCCCTCCATCTTCTTGTGAGGTGGGGGAGGGTTGACTGTGTTTCAAGAGTGATTCAGGGTGACCGCGGACGTCTCTGGGTGTCATCCTTAGGCCTCTGCTCTTTCACCTGTCAAGGATCTGATGGTTTGGATGGGGACTTTGTAGGTCACCTTACCCTGGCAGGAGATGGACTGTGGGACAGGATGTTGGGGTGGACAGGCTGACTGCTCGGGAGCACTGGCCGTGCCAGGAACGGCTGCACCTGGTGGAGAACTGCCGCCTGGGAGGGGTCCCGGAGTCCAGCAGGTGAAGGGAGCAGCCAGCCTGCAAGTTGTGTCAGCCTCCCAGGACTGCGGAAGTGAAAGAGCTCCAGACAGCAGGGGTTCGCCTCACAGTTCTGGGGATTAGAACTCCCAAAGCCAAGGTTTCCGCTGGGTTGCTTCTGCCTGGGCCTCTGAGGGAGAGTGTCCTCGCGGGCTCCTAGGTGTGTCATGCAGCCTCCGCCCCTGATTCTACCTGGCCTTCCTATTTTTCTGTGGCCTCCCTTGTTCTCCTTTTCTTGGAGAAAAGGAGATGTGGGATCTAGTGTGGGATCTAGGTGTGGGATCTAGGGCCCGTCCACTCTAGTATGACCTCCTGCTGTCTTGATTATACTATAAAAAACTGTTCCCAGATAAGGCCACATTCACTGGTTCCAGGTGAGGACCTGAATGTACCTGTTGGGGACACAGTTCCACACACAGGAGGAGTCAGCGTGGGTGTTAGTGGCACCCAGGCTTAAGGAGGTGGTCCTTGAGCCGGGTGCCTGTGGCCAGTTTGACATGGAGCTGTCAACCTGAGGCTTCCCAGGCCTCAGTGTGCACACCAAACCCCACGTCTTCTAAAGATGCAAATTCCAACGCTAACTCCCAGGAGTCCCTGGTCTCTAGCCAGCTTCAAGGGATGCTGCTGTGGCTGGTTTCTGGCCACTCAGGGTTGCAAGTGTCCAGGCCTGTGCTGGCCCAGGGAGCATTGTGGCCGCTGTCAGCACCAGCAGGGGTCTGAGCCTGTGTGGGCTGCAAGGTCAGCTCTACCAGGGCCTCCTGCCCTCTGTTGCCCAGGTTCTGCTCTATTTTGATTTGACAGGCTGCCTTTCCCCACTGGTGGTAAGACACTCACATGTGGAGTTAAGGTTCCTGTCAGAGGCCAGCAGCTGCAGAAGGAAAGAAGGTGGAGGAAATATTTCACAGCTCACTGTTGGTGGAACTTTAGTTCCAATTGCTGACTGGTCTGTGGCTCTGCAGGGGGCCCCACTGTGTAGCTGAAAGTGGTCCCTGACCAGACCCTGCAGCCTCCTGCCCTCTTGCTGCTTCCTCAGGGCTCCCCTCACCTGCCCTGGTGGGAGAGAGACCTCCTGCTTTGGGCAAGGCTGCTTCTGGAKCTGCCTGGGTGGATGCTGTGCTTGTCTCTTTGACCTCCTCTCAGCCCTGAGTCTGCTGCTCACAGCTCGCTGCAGCAGGCCCCAGCGATGTGGAAGGACATTGGTGGCGGCCAGGGAGACCCTTCCAGTCTCACCACTCTCCCTCAGCCAACCGGCCGTTCACACTGGTCTTCTAGCAGTGCTGGTCTCTGTGTTGGGGAATTTTCATAGTTACGGCATCGATGATTTTTGGTTTACTGCTTTTTAATCATTCAGTCCCAGGCACACCTTTCCATATGAATATGTRGTCGTAGTTATAATCGTAACGGCTCTGTGCTGATTCAGGACGGACGCCTGAATCGATGTGCATTCACTTGCTTAATGAAATGATTTTTGTATCGAGTTAATTCTTCTATTGTCGAATACTTGAATTTTGCTTTCAGGATTCTATACCTGCAGTGAATGATTTCGTTGATCTACAGCGGCCATTCAGCTTTCAGTGGACTAATCTATAGCGGGTGGCATTTACCTGTTGCTTTAAATGTCATGGCTGGTGTTCTGTGTTGATTACCCCCTTGTGCCTACCTGTATTAGGGGCCAGGCCTTTAATTTGGCGTTGTAGGAGTCTGCCACTTCATCACCGTCCCATCTCCCCTGCCGTGGAGCTCACTGGCTCTGAACCAGGACTTCTGCTTTTGAACCCAGGGTGACTTCTTCTTCGCTTGCCCGAACCTTGGCCTTTAAAGCGCTCTCCCTGGTACCCCTCCTGCTTCCGCCAGCTCGTCTCGGAGCCTGTCTCCTGCGGACATGCCAGGTGCGGTCCAGCCCTTTCTTCTCCCGGGTCTGGACTTACTAGTGGGAGGTCCAGAGAGGCTTCCCCTTAGCAATCCGTCAGCTGTTCGTTGTTTCATTTATTTTGAAAATCATTTCCTGTGTTCACTGTACCGTGTGCCAGGCCCTGGGTGCCGCACATATCATACCGTACGTTCTCTGTGTCAGTCGGCTTTTTGTGGCTGTGAACAAAGGGTCTGATCTGAACAACCTGGAGGAGGAAGGATTTATTTTGGCTGAAGGTTTCAGAGGTTTTAGTCCATGGTTGGCTGGCTCCATGGCTTCGGGCCCAAGCAAGGCAGACTGTCATGGTGGAAGGACATGGCAGAGAAAATGTCCCATTTCATGGTGCCTGGGAAGCAGGAAGAGATGTCCAGGGACAAAAATCACCCTTCCTCGGCCTGGCAGGAGTGACCCACTTCCTTCAACTAGGTCCCGCGTCCCTCAACCTCCGTCACCTCCCAGTGGTCATTCAGCTTTCAGTGGACTCATCTGCTGATGAGATGGGAGCCCTCATGATCCAGACGCTTCCTAGAGCCCCGCCTCTGAATTCTGCTGCTCTGGGGGCCCAGGCGTCAACACAGGAGCCTTTGGGGACTTTCCAGATCCAAGCCAGAGCAGTGTGTGTTCTCCTGTTCACGTCTGAGTGGGCAGAGGTGAGCCCAGTAGCCCCTGCCATGAGCACCCAGTTAGACCATTGCAGGAAATGATTTCAAGCCAATTGCCCACATCACCTCTCTGTGGATTGTAGTAAGTCATTAACCAAAGTGAGGGTTGGGTCGAGGAGGTATTTTGAGGGGATAGAAYCATTTGGGGGTTCTAGGGAGGTTTAAAGGAGGAACAAGACCAAGTACAGAGTGAGTCACCTCCAGGTGGAGGCAGCAGGCAGGAGGTGCTTGCTGGTCAGAAATGAGAAGGTGTGTGGTCCTGGCTGGGGGTGTGCACCACGGACATCAGGGCTGGGGGTGGAGGCGAAGCTGTGTGCACATGGGCGCGTCCTGGTCCTGTGGGAGCCACTGAGGATGCTGGCTCAGGTCACCACTGGCTTATCTGAGAGACATTTGGCTTCTGCCTATGGAATGGATTTGAGAGGCTGAGAGAGGAAGCCAGGGATGAAATGCTGTCATGTATCCACCTTGTCCCTGCTGTCACTGGGGCTGGTGGCTCTTGTGCACTGTGGGATGTTTAGCAGCACTCCTGGCCCATGCC